GTATCTGCTGATCTAATCACAATGACAGGTACAGTGGAATTTGCCAACTGGCTTCTTTCAGTAACAACTGCATTCTTTGTATTTTTAAACTTTTGCTTAAGGCATGTAACTCTGATGAAAAAAGTATGTATAAAGAATAAATTAGAAATATATATTTAAAAAATCAGAAATAAAGCATAAAAATCAGTTCTTTAGATACATGAACATATGATCTCTAAGTAGTTAAAAGTTGAAATAAACTAACAGTATATTTACTTTGTATCTTGGATCCTAGAATCTGAAATAACTCTACAACACTCAATAATTTCTATTTTGGTTATTAAATCAAAACTTTAAGCCAGAGGGTGGGGCAATATCTGCTTGTTCTTCCAGTGGCTTGACAGTGTTAGGTACATAGCAGTTCAGAGTTAATGAATGAATGAGTGAAGAAAACTTACTAACATGACCATATTCTTTTATACATTCTATATTACTGCTTTCTACATATTTTCTTGCATCAAAACATTCTAGACTTTTATATAACTTGTAAAAAAGCAGAAAGTGGAATAGAAAGATGAGGGCAAACAATTTTGTGAAACTCTACACACCTTGAATAGTATTTAGTTTGGCAATTGAAGTGCTTCCCAGAAAGTGTATTACAAAAAATATTTTATTTCCAAGATGATAAAAATGGACCAGTATATTACCATTCTAGTTTTGTATAGAATTAAACAATGCCAATTTATGCTACAAAATTTGATATTTACATCCTAACTGCTATCATGACATATGTTATTATGTCTGAGAATGGTGTCCTGCAAATGACATAATAGTCCTCATCATGAATAAGTGTGTACATTTTGTGTTATTTGTTTTCCTATATACAAATATTTTCAATTTTTAGAATTGATTTAAAAAATAAATAGCAACAACAGGTAACAGTTTCTTGGCTCTCTAAATCACCGCTCAGCTATTTTCCTCTGGAAAGTTTATATTCATATTAGAATTTTTGAAATTGTTCTTAAGACATAAGCTATGGTACTTCTTTCCTCTGAGATTGATACAATGGACTCAGGAAGCTGAATTCATTGTCAAATTCTGTCAAGCTCCTTTACCTTTCATTTAGTATCATATGATGAATTAAATACTACACTTCCACACTCTCAATCTTCGGTAGTCTAATCCATACACAATTTTCAATCCTTGTGATGCTTTTAAAACAGATTAAAATTTTTTTGATACTCTTCCCTTCAAGAGGATAATTTCATTTCCTTGCCTCTGGAGCACTCAGTGACTTATTCTAATGCTCAGAATAAAGTGGAAGTGAAGGTATATAATTTTAGAGACTAGGTCACAAAAAGCACTGAGGCTTCCTTATTGCTCTCTCTTGGGTTTCTTTTTTAGTTTGTGCAAATTAACTGCCAGGATGTGAAGTGAGGCCCAAGTGATGAGGTGGTCTGCCAACAGTCATGTGAGTGAGCAATCCGAGAAGTGGATCCTTCAACCACAGTCAAGCTTTTAGATGACTGAGGCCCTGGCCTACGTCCTGACTTCAATTACATGAGATCCTGAACTAGAACAACACAACTAAGTTATTCCTGAATTTCTGATACACAGAAAGTGAGATAATAAGTACGTTATTTTAAATTATTAAGTTTTGGGGTACATTTGGGGTACTTTGTTATATGATAGATAATACAATGCCCCCTTTGCCAAAATACTATCTCATCAAGAAACACTGCCAACTACTGTGGTGTACAAGAGGTGAACTCAGGTTTTCCAGAGCTGCATATTTCCTCTCTAATGTCTCTTAAATATATGCAGAGTACTAAGTATCATCCACTGATACAGGCTCTGTTGTCTCAAGTTCTTTATGCCCCTTTAGAAGTTAAATGACTCTTGTATGATCTTTATGTACATGTACCATGAACAGAGGATGAACTATAAATGTCATGATTCTCAAATACAATTTTCTGAAAGGGCCTCTTTCCCTTCAACATATCCCTTTTTCATCCACTCCCTGTCTTATTGTCCAAGGCAGCCAAAGTTGCCATTTGCCATAATATCCACGAGTCTTTTCCCCTCTCAAATATCCTAACCCTAAACAAAATAAATAATCTGAAGAAAACACATCCTCAAGCCATCCGTCAAACAGAAAGAGGAAAGGACTGTGGGTAGTTAGTAGGAGCTTCCTTCTGATACTGGTTCAAAGCATTTCTATTAACTTACTAATTCATTACAGAGGCTAGATCAATTGATTGCAAATGTGATTTGTAGAAATCAATTAGTTTTTGAAAGGACTAATAATATGAGTATTGAAAACAGAAAAAAAAAAAGAATTGTACCATTATCTTAGCCATTTCTGCATAGTGCTTCCATTTCTTTCTTATATTGTAGATGCATACTTTTATAAAACTGCAATCACTCAATATAGAATTTTTAATTTTGGAAAACCCCTGATATGCTCAAATCATTCAAGGTTTTTAGGAAAGGATTTCACTTCTATTAGCAAAAAGTGACTTTAATTATAACTCAGTAAGTATACATCAACATTATGCCAATGGAAAAGATTTTACTTTCGATTGCTTGGTTGGCCAGTATTTTTCTAAACCAGGCCTAATTTCTTACAATGAATATATAGCCAATTCTCAAATATTCAATAAATCCAATTTATTCATTCTTTTGGGATATACTTCTTCTCTTTAATCCCTTATATATTTAGTATTTATTAACACTTTGGCTCTAGATATATAAGGAAGATGAAAAGCTGAAATATAAGAGAGTTAATTTTTATTTTTATTAAATGGTTACAGTGTAAGAAGACTGAGTTGATGAAGTATTCAAACTTTTAAAACATGGCTGTCACATAAACTTTTTCCCTATTAGTAAAGGTAATTAAAAGAACTCAATGAATTTAGATTTCTTACTTGGAGATTTATAGTTTTTCCTCATATTGTATGTCTACAACGTAAGTTACAACTGATGCAATATTTCTGGTTCTTTGGAAATAAGCTATCTCTGACATGATTTCTGTTACTTATATTTAATTTCAGCCTAGGATTCATATATTTTATATACAAAAGGTTATCTCACAATTAAAACAAATGTCATTTAATAAAGAATTCTGTTGAAGGCTCCCTTTGAACAGTTATTGACTGAGAAATAAACTATAACTTTCTTATGCGATGACAAATTACCCTAATTTAAGATAACTAAATCATTACTATTATCTTAGAGCCTTTCACATCATCCTATTTATTGTAACCAAGATTGCTATTTTAAAAATTACCTTCTATATATTTTGAGTAGGATATATTTTATTATCTTCAAAGAAATGTTATAACTTGAATATAAGAATTTTGATTAGAAGTTAATGGTAAATAATGACATTTATCAGACCTTGAAACAGGAAAATGGACAGTAAACATTAAGCACAAAATTTTTAAGTCAGCATTTTATAGTAGTTCAATTATTTTATAATGTACTATAATAGGCCCAATCATAAAATTGTGTTCCAAAAGTCAGATTCATTGTTTCTGAATTTCATCTTTTGCAAAGTAAACCTAAACATACTCTAATGCCATGGCTTCTTGTGTTTATCAGCATTTTTAGATAAATGGAAATTGGATAGTGGTGAATAGAGTGGAATGATTCAAATAAAAAAAAATAATGATTTTAAATAAAAAAAGATGAAGTAGGAAACACTATAGAGAATTTCTCAGATTGATGTTAAATAAAGACAAGATTGTCTTAGTTATGGAATCAGTAGCCAACCCTGACACACAAAGCTAAAATCTTGTACATTATTTAGAAGCAATAAATATAGCACTCTTGACTTAAGTGGTCTTGCAGATGTTAACAGTCCTCATTTGTAGGAGATCTTATTTTATTCAAAAGCTGCTTCATCCCACTAACACCCAAGTCATCTCACTTAAAAAATTCCTTTTTAAACATAACATTTTAATGATTCAGAAGAGCATGGAAAATATAATATATAGCTAACTATATATCCACTACCCTGATTTTACAAGTGTTAACATTTTGCTATGTTGGCTGTAGATCTTTTCTTTAAAAAAAGAAGTTACAGATAAAACTGAAGCCCTCTTTATTTCCTTCCCAGAATCAGTCTTCTCTCCCCACTGTAGAGGTGATCATTTTTCTGAAGAAAATGTACCCCTCCTGCCCATGTTTTTATACTTTTACTGCGCATTTGTGTTTTTGTAAATGATGTCATGCTTTGTATTTTTAAAACATTTACATAAATTATTCCCCTTTTATTATTCTGTAATTTCCATTTTTTCAGTCCACATTGCTCTGAAGTCTAGGCATATTAATATATAAATATTTATTTTTTAAAAATTTTCTGAAGTGTTTCATTGTATAGATGTACCATTCTGCTATTGATGGATGTTCAGTTTGTTTCTAGACAATGTAGCATGAACATCCTTGTCATGTCTCCTTGCAGATAGGAATAATTCTTTCTATACTGCTTTCTATATTGCTTCAATGAGGACTTTTGCTTAAGCTGGTTGGGTGGATTTTGTTTTTAAATTAGGCACAGTCAATTAAAGAAAAAAACAGAATTCTATTTTCTAATTCAGAATTATGTCTTACTATCTAGCTAAGTTTAATATTTTATTTCTTTCTTAGAGCCTGTGATACAGAAAAGAAAATACTAGGAAATATGTAATCAATACCCTTATTTTACTTGGAAATGGTGTTTCTATTTAGGAACATTTTTTTGTTTGTTTGTATATACAAAACTTGTGTTTAGAATACCAGTGGTATGTCCCCCTCAGGAAAAAAAATGAGGAAGGTGTGTTTTGTATCAGCATTTGAATGCTGCTTTCTGTAGATGGAATGTTAGGGTTGAAGAGAATCTTGTCCACTTTTCTCCTGCCTACCTGCTCCTACCTACCCAAATTGTGATAGAATACTGACTAAAATAATTCAGGAAGTCTGTGGATCCTGATTTCTCATTTCTTATTTCTTTAAGGAAATAAACCAGTAGCAGAGTATACCTTTGATTCTTTTTCTCTTGATGTTCCAGATTTTACTTTATCTTGTGGCTGATCAAGAGCCAAATTATTCTTCCTTGCTTCACTGTCTTCAAGTAGGGAAACGTAGTTGTAGCTGTTATCTGCAAGACAAAAACCTCTTGGACATAAATAGGAAACCCTTGTTTTTTGGTACCACCTGGAAAAATAAAAAGAATACAAATCAAAAACCTAATTTTAAAAAGTAGAGATTTTATATTATGAGTTTTAGAATTTCTTTAGACAATAGTTACTTTGACAATTTAGATTTGCCCATTTCTATTTTTTTCACTCCCGCTAACTAAACACACAAAAACCCTAACTCCCCAAATCAGTGGTGTATGAAATATGTAGAACTTAGAAAACGAGAAGTAAGCTCTTTGCAACTTACCATCAGCAACATCAATTAAACTTTAACATAGGCTGTATTTTTAGGTATGCATATAATTTAAGATAATTATTTGCATTACTACTCCATGATTATAGGAAAATTAGAAAATGCAGACATGCCAAAAATATTAAAAAATAACAGGCCACACACAATTTCTATCACCTGTTTAGGTCTTTTCCTATACATGTAAACTCACTAAGAATCTTTTTTGGGGGGAACAAATACAATAGTATTTATTTTTGTATCCTAATTTGCTCATTTTGCTATATATTATGAATATGTCTCATGTTAGTAAGCATCTATTATCATTACTTTTCTTGGCTACATTAGCTCCTCATTTTATGGAAGACTGCAATTTAACTGTTGGACATTTCTTTATTTCTAGTTTTTCATTATTAGAAAATATACTGTGATGAGTATCCTTGCATATGTATCTTTGATACTTGGACAAATATTTTTTAATGATGTTTTTGGACTGCAATTTTTGGTTTAAAAGGCAGACATTTTAAAAAGCTTCAGCTATTTATTGGCAAATTATCTTCTAGGAAGTTTTATCAATTTAAGAGTTCCATCATATATTATATGTGAATATCCATTTTCCTGTATTCTGTAAGTGTTCATTTCTTAAACAAACATAAAATGTAACTGTACCAAGTTATTAAAATATCAGAACTATTCAGAAACAATGAAGAAATACAACAGAAAACTTGATTTCCACCTTTTCTCCAAGAGGCTCAAGAAATACATAAAAAATTAATATGAACATACCTTGACTGGAATTCACGAGAAGTAACTGTGATTTTAGTTTGTCAATAATAGTTTGTTGAAGTGACAGCTGTTCCTGTTGCTCACGTATTCTCTGCTCATAGTTCTCAGTCTGCTGACATAAAATCCAGTTAGCCTGGTGTTTACTGACAGACATGAACATACATTAATTGTCCATTAATAATTATATATAGATATGAGTTTCCCATTTGCCATTTCCTAAATATTGAGCATTTATTTATGAGCAAAACCTGGCTCCAGCAATGCATTTTTAATCATTACAAACATCAGTGATTTAAAACACTCGATGTAAAATTTTAAAAATAATCTTAAAGAAATTTTAATTAATAATTCAATGTATGGTTTCTTGGACCTTCTGTTAGGATAAAAATTTCAATTTAGAATTTCATTCTTAATGATAAAAAAAAAGCATGAGTGACAAAATGGATGCTATATGAAAGTTATTCCATAAAAAAAACTCAAATTAAAAAACTCAACTTAAGATTTCATATCTTTAAATAAACATACTTTTGAATACATTTTTAGAGTACAAAAACACAAAGGAGCCTTATAATTAAGACTATGAAAATCAAAGTGATAAGTACAAATTATAAAATTATATTGATCAAAAACTTATTTTCTAAGATTAAGGTTTAAGAAGCAAAAGAACATGGATATCTTAAATGCCACAATTTCCCTTATATTTTAATCCACTCATGCTTTTTTATTGGAATGACTGTGAGAATTAATCAATGAAAGAAGACATGAGTTTGCAGTAAAGAACACAGATGTTGCAAACCTTCAAGCAAATTTGAAAATGTTGTACTACAATTACCAAATTAGTACAAAATCTTATAAATATATTACTAAAAAACATAGAGAATTCTTTACAAATTTCTAAAATCATTGGAGGAACAAATAGACAACTAAACTATAAATTCCTTGAGATACGAATGAGATCCTAATAATTCAGAATGTCCTCCAAGAGATACTAATACTGGATTTTGAATTGACTCTTAATCAAAGTTCCAAATTAGTGAAGCTCTATTATTTTCAGAGACTAAAAAGTCTAAAGTTACACTGCTGTTCCTATATTCCCAAAATAAATTAGCTTAAGAAATTAAAACTTAATACCACATAGCCCAAGTAAAAGGTGAAATTTTATAATACACTTCAAACATGAATAACTGAGCAGGTAAGAAACCCAGTTGTGTGTCATTTTTGCATGTTGCCTAAGGGTAGTCTTAACATAACTTGCTACTCCCATAAAACTCTGCAGAGTAACTGGTAACAAAGCAGGTATTCTGCACATACTTAATGGAAAAAAAAATGAAATAAAGAATCCACATTTAAAAAAATCCAAATTGTATTACTATGAATAGAAGAAAGAATCTTGTGAGTCTGTCTGAATCATATGTCTTAAGAGTCTCAAAACTGAACCTTAGATACCAAAATCCAGTCTAGGGCTAGGATTCCTAGGACAAGAGATCTTATTCCTACATAAATGTACATCCAAGCCCCTAGAAAGAGTGGGTAGTTTGACTGAAAGAAGGATTCAAATGTTTATAGCAAATTCTGTAATGCCTTAAATTTGCCTCTGCTGAAGAGTCACCAAAGCTGAGGAATCAGCAAACGCGTTGCTGTTACAGTCTCCTCTATCTACTGCCATGTATTTAGAACTTTTTCTAAAGAACTCAAAGATTTTCATAAACATTACCGATACTTTCCCATTCTTTCGTTATATTTTGATAACCATATACATTCTACTATCCAGACATTAAGTCAGCAGTACAAAAAAACTTAGCAAATTACAGATAGGCCCAGAACAAATGTTCAAGCGTCTCTCCATCCTCCATCTACTTTATATTTTTTTCCCACCTTAAACTAAATGACCTATATTTTCTTTTGGAACCAACTCAGAAAGCTTCTGCCAGGTAATTTTCATCTTCCAGTCTCTGGCTTAAAAATACACTTTAGCACAGCTGTACATAACAAATGAATAATGCTAAAAATGTATCAATTCAGAAAAACAAACAACTATTTCATGTTGAAGTTGTGAACTATTTCTTAAACCACTTAATAAAGTATTTGATAAATTCAAACAAATTCTAATTTAAAAACTGATACTCAGCAAGAATAGCGATGGTCCACATTCTCTTACTGCTCTTTTCACTTACTTAGATTAATTACAGTAATTATAGTATTCTAATCTAATTGTCTAGATGTCAGATATCCCTTTAGATTATGACCTCCTTAAGGGCACAGACTATTTTCTTCTGATATCTCCAGAGTATAGCAGAGTGCCAGTATGTTTTGAGCTGCTCAGAAAATATTAGCCGAATAAATGAACTAATTAAACTTTAAAGAAGTATCAGAGAAATAGATGTACCTTCAGAAGTTACCTGAAGGAATGGAGAAAACACTGTGTTTTTATTTCTATTAAGGGAAATAGGAAAAACAGAGACAACGTCAGTAGGTGAATAAGACAAAAGGAAATTAAGTTTGAGAAAAGGGATACAAAAGACAGGCAGCATCTTAAGACTTTTTTTTGCAAACAAGGGAAGCTTATACTGTCAGAAAAAAAAGGCACAAATTCAAGATACATATTCAGGAAGCAATATAAAGATTTTGATCATAAGGCTATAAGAGGGAAAGTACAGAAGAGGACATTACATGAAAATGTGAAATAACCAATAGAATTTAGTTTATTTGTTATGACTGGAAACTAACTTAAGCAAGAAGTTTTTTCTTTTCTTCTTATTAAATGCTTTTGTTCACTGAACAGATCTAATAAACTTATAACCTTGAAGTCCTTATAAAAGGTTGGATAATTATTGCACTGTCACCGTATTTAAAAAAAACAAAACAATTCAAAGCAAGTACATTCCAGCCCTATCAAAGACCCCACAAAACAGAAAAATCACTAACAACCACATTGAAAATGTACAACAGCAATGTCTTGTCAACACTTCTGTACAGAGCACAGACATGACAGCTAAAACAGACAGAAGAGAAGATGCTTTTGACAGCCAGTGTGTGTGAATGATTCTTTGAGTCAGATGGCAGCAACAAGTTACCAACTAGGAGATCTGCATGACAACTAACCATCCATCTGTATCAAACACCATCTGGCCAAGATGACTCTGGCTTCTGTGTATTTGACACTCCTTCCAAATGCAAAGACTAGCAAAACAAGTGGTCTACCATCATGTAAAGAGGTAAACAGGTATTTAGGTACTTGTGCCATAATATACTTTGCATTTTTTCTTAGTATTCGGAAGCAAAACTTAAAATTATGATCAAATGTAGTACAAATCTTAAATTTACTAAGAATAGTTGTCTATATACTTTCAACTATCATAAATAAAGCAAAAAGCTTAAGAATTGTTCCTTTATCCAGACAAAATTTAAATCCATCTTCAAAACTAAGGCAACATATTCTCTATCATTTTGGACATACAGCTGCTCAAATTTTCATGAGTTTCATAAATATTAAAATACTTCTATAAATTGAATTTTTTCCTATTGGTGACACTGAAAATTCTCATTTTTCACATTTTCTAAAGCACTTATTTCCTAGATGGGGAAAAAAAGTTCAAGTGTCCTTATGTCATGAGAATACTCTATTTGGGTTAGACACTTTCTCTTCTCTTCCTCAAGAACTAAACTCAATATTCTGAAAAATGCTACTGTTTTCCTCCAAGTATAAAAAGAACAGGAATTTAATAAACGTTGAATGGATTAAAAGCACAAAAAGAAATAGTCTCAATTTAAAAACCTTTCAAACTGTTGCAAGATTAACAAAGAACAAAAGCTTTCTTGAAGTATTTGCTTGGGTACCATAAATGCTTTAATTGGGAGGCTCTACAGTTTATGAGGAAAGACAATTAAATATTAATTATCCCAATACATAGCACTTTAGACACAAACTAATTGTCTTCTCTTGAGACTTTAATAAACATCCATTTTAATTTTAAATTAAAAAAAGTGTATAAGATTAGCAACTTGGAGATCCTGGTTTATAAAGCTCATTCTTCAACCATTCTCTGCTATATTCTCTTATAACTAGGTGATAAACCCTGCCCTTCCCCATCCTCCTGATACCAAGACTTATGGAAGATCTGCAATTCGACAGATTAGATTATTTATCTGATTATCTAATATAAGGTAAAATGCTGATACCAATTTCTCAGCATGCCAAATGTAAACTATGACAATTTTTATTTTATGATCATGTGTTTTGGCCCTGATTAATATACTTAGTCTCTTCGAACTTTGGTTTCTTTCTCTTTGAAATGAAAATAATATTTACCTGAAGGACTGAAGGAGATTGCATGTATAAAATGTCTGGCACATAATAAGCTCTTTGTAATGTTAATTCCTTTTCTTTAATAATGAGCAAGTTGTCTACATAATATCTATTATCATAGCCCATGGTGTATATACCCATTAACTGAAGTCCTGATTACCACTAAACACAGGCAATTTGTCCACCAGACTTACCAAACAACCACCCCACGCTCTAAGCCAGTTTTCTCAGTCTTTCTTCTAGTTCACTGTAACCTAGGACTAAGAAGTATCTTTTTCAGAAATCAGTGTAGTACCTCCACTGAATTAAAAACATTCTGTCAAGCAAAAAAAATAAAAACCCTGCATGTTCAAAGTTTATGAAGAGATAGACTAAAAAAATGATTAAGAAACAATTAATGGCTGTTGAAAATCATAAAAGTAGCACAAGTATTGAGAGAAATGTAAAAAACCGCCAACAAATGTTCACCATCACCAAAACAAAAACTCAGATATGTAAAAAGTAAACAGTGACAGTATTTTCCTTTATTTTGCCTTCCATTCTTCCTCAGAGTTAACTGTTATCAACACTCTGGTATGTACCTTTAGGAACTTCTTTATACATATACACACACACACACACACGTATATGTTATCTTATCTCTTAAAACATGAACCATTCTGCAAAACAAATTTTCAACCCATCATCATATGACCATTTCACTGAATATTTATTATGAACCAAAATCAGGGAGCTTTATTTCCTTTATTTCATACTTAAACTAACCTTCTGAGGAGATTATTTCCCACATTTTATAGATGAAAAAG